ATTTATTGTTATTAGTATTTGTAATTACTATTAAGTGAATTAAATGCAATACACAAGAGTACTGTATGTATCTTGTAATTTTATCGCTTTAAAACTAGTTTAATTTTAAGGAAGCATATATTTGTACATACTTAAAACAATAATTGGTAACTGATGATATGATTTTATTATCTCGCAATATTACTATTTCACAGACGTTTATATTATATTATACAAAAAATTTTGCACAAGTTATCATATTGACCAAACCTGAAATACTTAATTGTAACAATAAGAGGCGATTGCAATTAAATCAATTTTTTAATATATTACAAGTTTAGCGGAAACTTGATTTGGAGAGTGTGTTTTGTACATTCATACCGGCGCTTGACGTACAATAACGCTATTAAATAAAAAACGTAATAATATATAAACGAGTATAAAAATATTGATGCATTAGATAACGCTTCGAATGACAATTTGAATTCGTTCACATTTACAATTGCAGAATACGAAAGAGTAGAAAAACGAAACTAGTCTTACGTACAAAGTACTCGTTTTTCAGTTCCTAGGATATAAGAGAGTATTCCGATTAATATCCAATTGTTAAAACGTGACTGCTACTGATAAGAACCAATGCGTTTTGTAAAACTTAATGACATGCCCTGTCTGCGAGATATCCTGTGTATATATACATATGTGACGTCAGAATTTTTTTTGTCTATCTCTTTACGTATGAAAATGATGTAGCGCCTATGAAAACTGAATAAAAGTTTATAGACATATATCAAAATGGTCATCTTAATTCCTTGAGAAGTGAATAATTCGTCATTTTAAAAGCTCACTCTATATTTTTCATAGTTTACATTGTTTTATATTCTGGATATATTTTTGGCACATAATAAATTAAACGTTAATTAATGAAAATACATGTGGAACTTAATTGGATAGAATTACAAGTGCACTATTGAGAATCTTATGTAGGTTTTGCTTGAGGTAGATGACTACAGATGCAAATGGACACAAAATATATATACTCTGTATTAAAAATAGTTCTTAGATTAATAAATAAATACATATCTTGTTACAACGTATTGACATCTACAATCATTAATGTAAAGAAGATATAAACAATTTTTTAATATTATACATTTAGCGTTACTTTCGAAAAAGCGGAACTCGTGTAATATCTCCATTACTATTATTGATAGAAGATTCAAAATATATTAATTGAAATATCACATCTACCATATAAATTGTCTGTAGAAAAATAATACAGTTAATTGTTGCAATAAATTAGTAAAGCTTTATTATTTATATTTGCCGCCACTATTCTGGAACCTCCCTCTTTAAATTAAAATTCTGTTTTTCTCACCATATGTCCATACAATGTTACAGAGTAAGAAAACAAATGAAAAACGCAAGGATATTTTTACTTAATATATATCATCAGGTGCAAAATCAATTGTGTAGTGGGATTATAGATAAAAAAAGAATAAAAATTGAGGAAAAGATTCCATTATAAAGAAATATAGCTCAAGAAATATAGTTTCAGTAGAATTCTATTTTCTGTTTCTAAAAAATGCAGCAACATAAAAACTGTAGTATAAATAAATTTAATACTAAATTACTTTTTGTACAAACGCTTAATTCATAATATCACGAAAGATTTTTTAGTTTTTTTTTTTCAATGAAGTTTTAACATTTGATTGTGAACTTATCCCTGCGATATTTTTAATATTGTCCTTATTCACATCATTTGTCTTCTTGCTATTGTTACCTGATTGCAAACCTAGTCTTGCTTTTTTTGTAACAGTTGGACATTCGTCGAGTGTAGAATTAAGTATAGAGTTTTCCTGGCTTGTTTCAATGATTTCAATTTCTGCCTCTGAAGTCGATGAATTATTTTGACCTGCAGTTTCCTGTTTTATGTTTTTTTGCTAAAGAATAAGAAATCGATTATATATGTAGGATGAACGAAGATGTTGTTTAAAATAATATAAACTTTCTCGATAACAAAATATACAATCATCCTACATATATAAAACCAATTTTACATGCAAAAATTTACATGCAAAAACTAGGAAGGATCAATAATGGCGGATAATGAATTAAAAATTATGCTTTAATTTAAAAAAAATCTTATAATGAAAATATCTATTCATTATATTATGATATAGCATTATGAGATTTGGATATCATTTCTATTTTTCAAAATGCATTATAAACTAGAACACAATTATTTGTATTACAAAGTAAAATAAAATTTGCGTTAAGAGCAGCACTAATTTCCATTACAACAGATTTCAGGATTAATTTAATTACCTGGTTATAAATATTTACCGTTTGCATCGTAATAAAAGAATTGGAGCAACTTTGATTGTTAGAGCTGGAAATATAGTTTTGATCAGATGTAAGCAGTTTTTCTAGTTCATTAACTCGATGTTGTAGGGCTAGATTTTCACTTTCACATAATGCAAAACGCAAATCTCTGAAAACAGAAATAATATAGTAGAAAGATCATAACATTATATTATATTATTATTATATTATTATAAATATATTTTTTTAAATATTTTTAATTTACATTATAAATAATATAAAGTAAAGATCACAACACTATCAGATTTAATTATTTTAGTATTAAAAATATAAGAATAGAAAGAAAAATATAAATATAATTTTAGATTACTTGTCTAAGGACTGCTGATGCCTTGTAAGTTGACTTTCAAGATTAGCTATTTTTTTCGTTTTCTTTAACATTATCCTGAAATTACAAGCGAATTGTGTAAGATATTAAAATTAATGTGTATGAAGACTAAGATATATGAAAACATACTTTTTCATCGTAAAAATATAATTAATCAAAGTATTATGATCAGTTGTTTTTCCAATCATTCCCTGTACATCCTCAAGTGTACTCGTTGACAGTGTTTTATACATGCTACAAACAGGTACAATAATAAAGATCAGTTCATCAATATGCTGCCAATAATTAAATTAGGCAAGATGATTGACATAGACAAACATACTTTTGGAATTGTTCCACTTCTCTTTCTTTCTGAGATAGCTTCCTTTTGAGAATATCACATTCTTGATAGTTCTGCTGAAAAGAATTTATTTTTTCTTTTAAAGCATAGATGGTCGAGTTTTTCTGCCTCATTTCGCTTTCCACTTTTCGCACTTCCTGTCTAAGGCCAGCATTCTGTTTCTCCAGAACTATATTTTTCGAAGTGTAATACTTGATATTCTTTTCATTCAGTAAAATTTGAAACTGCAGACTGTCTATCCTCCCTTGCAGAGTTGAATTATCCACATTATCTGCTATGCTCTCGGTATTTGAAACTGTAAAATGAGCCTTATGGATTTTCTCTACTGTCACTCTATTACGACATTGCGGACAGGTCTTTGACCTATGGAACAAATACATATAAAATTAGTTAATATCTAATCGAGTTTCTTTTACAAAATGATTTTGAAATCTCAAAATAAAGAACTTCTTTTATGTCCATTATTTTGCAGCCTACTTTTACATTTAAAATGAAACGAGATTTTCGTTTCATTGCTAAGAAGAGGAAGACGAAAAGCACGATCGAAACTAATGTTATTACGATACGTATCCCTCGCATGGAAACATAACCAATAAATCATGTTTACCTTTCAAGCCACTGTAACAGGCAACGGTGATGAAATACATGTCCGCAATGAGTGAAAAAGATGTCATCGGATGATGAGACAAATTGGTCTTGACAGATTACGCAAAGGATTTTCATTCTAATGAAAGTGAAAGCACAGCGACAGTGACAGCAACTTATTCGTCTCCAATGGAATCCAGCGTGCTCGTAGCGCTCGTACTTCGTACTGCTCGCGCATGATCTGATCGTGAAAGTAGAACAGCTGGTGGACTTCAGTTTGCTTCAGCTTCGGGCCTCGGGTCTTGTTGCTACAGTGCTTGCAATCCATCATAATTTAATTGTAAATTTGCGAAATTTTTCGCCTCGAAATCACAGAATGCGAATATCCCTCGATAGAAATTTTAGTCGGTGTTGAATATATATTAAAATGTAATGCATTGCAGCAAGATTTCTGATCGCATTTGCGATAGTAAACATGCGTAAAATAAAAAAGAATAAAACATAAATAATAAATAAATAAATAATTATAATACGGGTTCTCTCTTTCTCTTATATTCAAATTAAACGCAATGTACAAGTCACAATTTGTCGGTTTGGATGATAAGCCATGTGATACGAAATGCTTATTGTGTGATTGCATATTTATTCTTCCGACGAATGAGACAGACCTTCTTACACACTTGTTTAAAGTGCACCGCCTCGTTATAGCTGATGTTTGGAAAATAGCTAATTTAAGAAGGTAGGATAATATCATTTTATATCTTGTTGCCTTCATTATGTTTGTATTCTTTGTAATGAAGTATAATAATATTGATAATTTCAGTTATGTACATTACTGGAGCACAAAGTTTAAAGAAGCATCATTGACGACCTATTGTAGTACACTGTTAATGGATTGCACACCGGATGGGCAACCAAGTAAAAATGAGCATTACTTTCTGCTTTCTGACTGTCTGTCGGAGGACAAGACTTTGAGAGATGAGATACATCGAGCTAAACTAGTATGTATATCAATGTAAAATCAATAAAGTTATATGTAATTTATAATAATCTTTATAATAATCGATTCTTATGATAATTTTATGTAATAATGTAATTTTTCTTATAATCGTTTGTAATTGTATTTATAATTATTATGTTAAGGAATGGACATTGGCGCAACAAGAAGCTGAGCGTGCAGATATCACTTTTAAGCGCGGTTGTATATTTTGCCGTACTGAAATCTGTGGATCACGTGCTGTGTACATAAAACATTTGTATCAGAAGCACAATCTTTATCTTGGCAAGCCAGAAAACTTAGTATTCGTGGATGAGCTTCTAGACAAAATTCAAAACAATATTGAAAGGTATTACATTAAAAAACTGATATACATATATGTCTGAATTTTACATTCTACTTAGTATTCTATATGTATTCAGTATAACGCGAGATACATGTAATAAGAATTTTTGTACGAAATTATATAATTATCTCTATCGATCGTTTCAGTTTAATATGCATTTATTGTGAGGGAACATTTAAGGATCGTATGGTACTGAAAGAACATATGCGAAAAAAATTTCACAAAAGTATAAATCCTCATAATAAAGCGTATGATAAATTTTATATAAACAATTATTTAGAGCCAGAAAAGACTTGGGAACGAAAACAGGTAATGTGCGATTTGAGATAAGAAATATTTAATTTATTAATATAATTTTCAGAATATAATTCAGAAATATAATTTTTTATTTCTACAGGCTAATTTAAAAACAAAATCTGACATAGGAGGTGGCAGTGAAAACGAGGATGAAGAAAGTTCGTGGTCTGATTGGAATGATGAATCTATCACAATCACGTGTCTATTTTGTAATTATAGCAACAATGAATTTACTTGTATTCTGAGGCATATGAAAGAGGCTCATAGTTTTGATTTTGAAGAAACTGTCAAAGATCTGACCTTTTACCAGAAAGTAAAGAATTGTCGTGCAATTATTAATTTTGTATTTTTAACAATATGTATTTCCCCTTTTCTATAACATATTGTCAAATTATAGGTAAAAGTAGTCAATTACATAAAAAGACAAATTCAATTACAACGATGTATCTTCTGCGAAACAAAATCGGACAATGTCTTGGAACACATGAAGAATCAACAACATTGTAAAATTGCCACACAAAAAGTTTGGGATCAACCAGAGTAAATATAATTGTAATTATATGTATATAATTTACATAAAAAAATAAGAAATTACGTTAAGTGTTTTATTATTTATTCCAGATATTATTTTCCTATGTCTGAAAATGATTCATTTTTGTACAATCTTGATGCAACTAGTAACAGCGATGAAGAAAGTGATGTTGAAAATCTTACTGAAGCAATGTAAGTAATATTGAAAAGAAAGATATATCAATTAAATTACAAATAATGCATTAACAATTTTCAGGTGTAATTTATAAATGATTTTCTGTGAATAGAAGCTAAATTTATCCAAACTGATTTTATTCGAAATTCTATCAATAAATTTTTTGTTGACTCATTTTGTGAAATATAAATATTACATCCTTATATATTATATAAGATCTTGTACATTTGTGGTTATTATCTAATAAATTTACCTATATTGCTTTTTATATATACATTTTCTTACTTATATCAAAGATGACATAATGCTATAACTACAATATATTTTACAAAATATGTTTATCAGATTGTAATAACATATACTTATTAACATTTTTTAAATGTATTAAAAATATCAAGATACATCTTTTACATTATTTTTTTACTCTAGAGAAAAGTCTCTTACCACGTACTTTAGAAACTTTGCTAGTTCCCGGACCTTCATCTGTTAAACATTTCTCGTGTAAAGCTTTATGTAATAATTCAGCATCATTTTTATTTCCAAGTATTTCTTTTAGTTCTTCCTATTTATAGAAAAATTGTTAATTTTTAATATTTTTACTTACAAATTGTAAGAAAAAAATATTATGAAGAATTTAAGTTTCTTAATTGTGTTTTTTTTACGTACTTGTGATAGCTTCATAAGATGATCTAATGATTTCCCTTTATTTAATAGAACACGCAAATTTTTTGAATGTACACCTGGTAATTTACCTATAAAATCTTGAATATGAGGATTATATTTTTCTACCAATATTTGCTTATTTTCTGTATCTTCATCTGCTCCGATTTTAGCAGCTACATTTGAATCGGGCTGATCTCGTCCTTGCTACAAACATATAATTTTAGTATCTGTAATATAATTATTTATATGACATATATAAAATCATTTTACTTTCTCTCTCTCTCTCTCTCTCTCTCTCTCTCTCTCTCTCTCTCTCTGTATATATAATATATACATATATGTATGTATGTATATTACCTTTAATTCTTCAAACAATTGCGCTGTAGCATGTGGACTAGGAGACCATACAATTTTTAATTTAGGAAAATGAAGAGTTAATAATTGCAGTTTTGCCATTATGTCATTACTTTTAAGATCTTTACTAACATAATAATTTCCCTAAAACAATAGATACATAATATATAACAATATGTATACATATTCTTTATAATTATACGAAGAAAAATTGTGTGTGCGCGCGCGCACACACACACGCACGCACACGCACGCACACACGCACGCACGCGCATACACACACACACACACACACACACACATTTTTACGTTAGTTTTATAAAATTAGATACCTGAAAACAGAATGGTTTATTTTGATCAAATTCTATGAGAAGCATGGGTTTAGCATAATGCCTTGTCATAGAAACTGCTTGATTATACAATCTCCCGGAAAGTAAAGAACCAATTAAATCAGATATACTTTTCCTCTCAATACATATTTCTGGTGTTAAAATATAATCACCGACCTGTAACATTATAAACCATGTAGAAACAATATTTTATATCAAAATACACTTATATATATATATTTCACTTACCACTAATGTCACTGGTTCGATTTTTATACCGCGCATATAGAGAATGGCTGGTAACTCACTTCTAAATTCTCTCATATCGACAATAACTTTTGGAATTATTTTGGCTTTAGATTGCTTCCCTCCTTTACGCGTATCTTCCTGATTTGCATCATCTGATTGAATTGCAAAAGCTAAACAATCGTCTGATTTTCCATCTTGATCTTCTGGTACAACCATGGTCTACAAAATAATAAAAATTATTAATTATATAGCAATACTTTCAATAGCATATTATTCAATAGCATAGTTTTTTTGTGATGATTGGAATATTCACAATTTTCGTAGTAATCAAAGACTCAAATGCTTCTTTTTCTCGTCGTAAAGAAGTAAGATATTCTTGTTCCTCAATCGATCCACCATAAATTAAAAAATACACTTTTAAATCTAATGACGGATTATTATTTTGATATATCTCTAATTGCCTCACAATACCGATATCGTTTGCATACAAAATAATATTGTTTGGGATATGCTCGGTTAACATTCGTTGTAAGGCCATTGGATCTCCTCCTTTTTTTATGGCTTGTATGAAAACGAGAGGTGCAGATGCTGCATAATGTTCTCTAGTCAAATTCAATTCTGCAAGCTTTAAAATCAGACAACAAAATTAATAAAAAAGCGTTTGCTTTAATAGATAAATATTTCCTAAATGTTATAATATGTAACTTACTTGCGAACATTCTTCAAACAATGTCTGATGTTTTATATCTTCTGTAGAAGTACTGGCTTGAGTTCCTTCTACGCATTTTTGTGACAAAGTGAGCACATAAGTATCTTGAGTGTCTTCCGTTTCTTCATCTGTGTTACTTTCAGATGTTGATGGCTGATCTTTCGTTTTCTTTCTACTATCGTCACTTGTCTTTTGTTCTTTATTATGTGATAATTTTTTCAGAGCTTCATAAAATAAGTATTCATTTGCACCCATAGTTAAGTAATTCTTTAATTGGCGACATATATGATTATCGTGTACCAAGATAAGAACTTTATTAATATTTTCATAATCTTTTTTCTTATGTTTCTGTTCTTGAATCTCAAACAAGACTTCTGATAAAGCTTCCCATTTTGGATTTGGTTCTGGTTTCAGTTCATTTTTTTCTGTATAAACTCTGCTTCTGGCATACTTAAACAGATTCTCGAATTCATTCAACATTATCCAACCACCGGCTTTCATAGCATATTCCATAGTCCGTAAACGATTTAGCATGGCATAAAATGAAACAGAATCTTCATACGTTAAAGATATAATAAGGGAACGTAATGTTTTTAAATCAGAAAACAATTGTTTGGTCGTTGTACTGAGCTGATGCCAAATTGGATCTATTTGCAAATGTAACTGCTTGTGAAATTTCTTTGCTACTGCATTTTCCACAGTCAATTCGTCTAAATCTAAATATTTATTGAGCCTCTTTAATTCTTTTACGACATAATTCATAACATCAAGCAAAGTACTTTGAATGCTCTGCATCTTTGGTGTGATATGCACATGTAATTCTATAACATCGGGTTCATTCTTAGATAAGCAATTATTAATAGTTACATGGAAACGCGGCCATAAATATAATTTTTTAACGAACAAAGTTTTCATAACTCGTTCTACTTTCGAAAATCCAACTGTAAAAGCTAATGACGAACTTGTGAACGCCTTGATAAATCCAGTCTTATTATTTTGTCTATATAAACGCAATGCAAATGCTTCTTGATAAGCATTTAATATATTGTGAGCTCTATAGACGAGAATGCCAGTGACCAAGTGCAGTGGAACTCTATTTTTTAACAAATCTACTACTAAAATACGACCTGATATAAACAGCACTCCACCTTCCAAATACATTATTTCCCTGTTTGACAAATGGTTATATTAAGTGCATATGTAAAATAGGAATATTTTTGAAATTATACCTTTCGTTAGAAGAACATTCTGCATTGACTACAAGTGGTAATCTACTCGTTCCATAACTTTTAAGCAGATCAATAAAGTAACGCTCATCATAATCAGTGGTTCCCAAGACTATTACTAGATTTCCTGGATCCAAATAAGCTTTTATCACATTTGCAAAAACAGTTTCTATACCAAGACCCCTGTGAACATTTTTCAATAAATAATAAAATTACATTCTTACATAAGATCTGATACAGCAAAGATACAATATACTTACTTAGCAGTAATAACTAATCCATCCTCCTGAATGATGTCAAGAAACATTTGGTTTTCATATTCCAACATGACTATCAAGAGATAATTTTCAATTCAATTTCTAAATTTCTTAATTGCTCCAGCAATTATTTCAAAACAATAATTCAAATAAGAGATCCAAATTGGCAAAAAATAAGATATCTCTGATCTAAAATAAATACAGTACGATGTTCATAATATAAGTATAAATGACAGTAAGACAAATAGAATTATATAGTAATTTGACATACTCTATCACGAGTTTTGTAAGTATTTCCTGATGTCTCGTCGTAAGATGAAGTATCGTCTTCAACTATTACTTCAGATACCAACAAAGTATATTTACTAATTTCGTGCGATGGATGGCCATAAACACCAATACTTACAGGCCGTTTAAAGCTGAGAAAATGTAACATTATATAATAAATAAAATAAATTTAAGACTGTGAAGTTATAGTGAGTACCTCTTAGGTATGAAAATAGTATCTTCCCCACAAGTTGCGGATTGCAGACAATAATAATCCGGTTCATACGTCGGTTTGCTTATAATCTGCGACGCATATAAATCTGCATCTCCTGTTCTAAAAAAAGATATAAAACGTACAATACATCGTGCAAAGAAAAATTTCTTAACAAAGAAAATAAGATTCTATTAATAGAATAAGATTATTGGTCAGTAATCGCAGCATTATTTAATTTCTATTAACAATGTTACTCACATCGATGTCAACCGTATCTTAATATTACCATCGTACGTCAAACTGTAATATTTGTAAGAGCCACTGGGTACATCATCACTAACATAGTGCAACAATTCCTCGTTCAGTGCCGATACATAAGCTATCTAAAAGTTTTAACCAAATAGTTTATTACGTAGAAATTTCAGAGTCTCTCAGAGAATTTTAGCACATGTAAACCTGACTATACCAATGCTGCAATAAGAAATGTCTTCATAGTATGGCACGTAACAATGTTATCGAAATGTTAGACGTTGATATTCTCGTAGTGAGTCACATAAATACCGAAACGACTGTTTAACATGACAGAATCGAGCTGTCGTGATTCCGTTTACATACACATTACGTAAAGTACGCGAGATGCGAGATTAGGTGTACTTTGCATTCATACTATTCTGCCGGGATTCGCGAAAACGAGTGACGAGAGTATCAGCTGACTGTATACAAAAATGGCGCTAAGTTGCACAACAGAGATCGCTGTTCGCCGGGCGCCATTCGAATACCTTACTATTGCATAAAAAATATTCACGGTTTATTCAATTATTTGTATTTTACATGATTCTGACAAACGATCATACATTTCGCATTTTGTGACATCTTTGGCACAATCTTATATTATTTGTATGATTTATTTTGAACGTAATTAGTAATTATTCGTGTGGAGTATTTTTGATATTTCAACATTATGTCTCAATTTTCATTGTTCTTTTTAATAATTATTCTT